TTTTTGAATAGTTAAGGCGATAAAAGTAATATTGATTTCCAAAATAATACATTTCAGTAACAAGGAATGCTTTTAAACTTCATTTTAAGTTTTGATAAGATAGTGGGATAACAGAAGAAGACATTTTTAATAGCAAAAAGATTGAAAGTTATGGTGTTTACTGAACGCATAGAAGTTTTTATTTAAAAAGAAAATATTGACTCGAAAGTAAGTTAGGAACAGTGCATGGGAATGAGGGAGTTGATAGGCCACGATGCCTTGTCGGTTGGAATTATCCAACTAATTTTAATCTACAGCCTCAAGTACTGCAATGATAATCTCAGTAACTATATTTTACTAGACAGCATAACGTATTACAATGGCTCAAGCGTTGGTGCACGGGACGTTAGTAATGATTTATGTTAATTTAAATGCGTTGAGGCCTCCGGGCCCTCATCTAATAATAAGTTGTGCGCCGTGACCAATGTTAAATTGAATACGCGCTGGCTTATTTGCAGGGCGATCGAATGCGCGCGTGCGCTAATCGATTTATTGCGGGATGATCGATCGATAGTTGGATATAATACGAGCTTCGTGGTACCAACCAACATGTGTCATAAATTAGAAATGTAATTATATCGATGTCAAAATAAAATTGATTACATTTTATTTTAGAATTTGACCAAATGAGTAAATTTTTGAAAAATAAATATAATAATATAATTTCTTTTTATTTTGTAATGATTTACTTGTTTAAGAATTTCCAAATTCACTGATAAATTCTACCATGTTCTAAGTGATCGCCAAAACACATGAGTAAAGAAACGTTGGCCAAAATACCAAAGTGACATTTTGTCAGCTTATCTTGTCTCCAAAACTACATAGTCGGTTTGTTGATAACATTTTTGTATTTGCACGGGAAAGTTAGCAAACACTGCATTCTATGTAAAGTCAGTTTCCAGTCTCAGGTAGTATCTTAGCAGATACAAATGAGAATATAGTAGGATATTGAAGTAATCATTTTATTTCATTTATTTTAAGCATTTAGAAAATCACTGGTAGATTTAGAAGATCTAAAGAACCTTTCACTAGAAATCCACCCGGATAGCGTCCATTTTTTTCTAGTATAATAATAATTTTATGTTAGACATCCTTAAATAGCAAACAATGCGTTTTAGAATACAGGGATATGGCAATAGCAATAGAACCACTAATTAAGTCATAGCCATCGGTATAGGGGAGATCAAAAGATACGATGAAACTATAGGTAAATCGTTTAACAGAGACCTGGCTTGCGGGGTACAGGGTTTGGGGAAGGACGAGAACGGGGGCCGTGTGAGGTGAGGGCGGTCGGCGCTTGTAATTTTGAGAAGAATGTGCCGCCGCCCGCACCTCTCACGGTCCCCGTATTCGCGCTCCACCACCCCGCAGGCGAGGACTCAGTTGAGCGGTCTACCTTATAGTCATTATAGTTTAATGACCGGATAGGACACAATAATGCTTTCTAATAAATAATTTCTTCACGGAATGAGTAAGGTAATTTGTGAAACAATGCAAATACATATAACATTTTGTTTTTGTATTTTATTTCAATTGTCTAATGTTGCTGCACCTTTGATAATCTGCCTATGTACCAATCCCTCGAGGGATGTTTGCTTGCTATTACTAGGCTGATGTACAAACTTAATGCATGTATACACTCTAGCTACATATTTACCATACTATTAAAGATGACAATAGGTATCATCCTACTCCACACGGGCGTTCCATTTCGAGTGGAAATCCCTCTACCATGTAATTCTCTTAATATGTAGCAGAATTGCTGAGAGAATCACCTAGCAACGGGAACATACATAGTAAAAAATAATAAAAACTTATGGCCAATAACCGTTAAAAAATTATGGGTAAATAAGTATAACATATAATATATTATTATCATAATCATCGGCCTATTTATGTCCCCACTACAGGGGCACAGACCTTCCCTATGGACAAAATAGGGAGATTGGGCCGCGATCCATAATGCATAATGTGTATAGTATATTGGGTCCAACTCTATTCTTAGTCTATATTAATGAGCTGTCATCTCTGGTTATTCCTCATTGTAAAATTATTTCCTACGCACATGACACTGCCTTGATTTTTTCCGCGGATTCCTTCACAGAAGTTTATAGAAGTGCTCAGTATGATCTGGATAGAGTCTTTGATTGGCTTAAGAGCAAACCTTATGTTACTTAACATCGAAAAAACTAAAAATGTCTAAAGTCAGGATCCCCCAAGAAGGTCTTCAAAATTTGTATCTTATGGCATAATATATCCATCACTCAGACGATTATTCATGAAATTATGAATATACAATACGTCAAACTTCTTCGGTTAAATATCTTGGAATTATGGTCAATGGTAGACTAGAACTTTTCAGCCCCACATAGACTTAACCGTTGCTAGGATTCGAAAGCCCATGCATATCTTTAAAAACATCCAGCATATAGCAGATTCTAATCTTGTCAAAAATCTTCAAGGCACTTTTTGAATCCGTTCTAACTTAATGTATTACTTCAGGGGGTGGTACTTATGAAACTTTCTTATGACTCTTGAAAGAGCCCAAAGGGCTGTTTTAAAAGTTTGTACTTTCAAATAATTCTACACTCCACTTATGCTTTATATCAGTACTGCGAGGTCCTGGCTGTTCGTCAATTATTTGTACTGCATACAAATTCTACCTAAATCTTCATACTCAAATTCCAATAGATGTTAAAAAGCGTGTTTCTCATATCAGTAAAAGAATCATTCGTTTATTAAAATATAATCACAACATATGATATAGAATACATTTAATAAATAATTAATATCTGCACAATGCACCCTAAGTTTGCGGGTGCAAGAAATCGAGTAAATCAATAAATTACACAGTTGGTCTCTTGCCAGTGACGTCAGCTGTTTGGCTCGTTAAGAAGACGCGTGTGATTAACGTGATGCGCTGCTCTGTGACTCTTTCATTACGTCATTATAGACACAACCGAGATTGGTTTCGGACGTAATAGTTATGTGGCAGTAGTAATCATTCTTATCGGGCCAAATCATAAAGTCATTACTATTATGTAAACATTACAATTTGATTGATTCGTAAGGACACGAATTTGAAATCATAATAAAGTTATACATAATAATATATCTCGATGGCGCAAGTGGTTAGCGCGTTCGTCTGCGATCCTTGAAGTTTAGCATTTCGCAGTAGTCGGTCATTGGATGGGTGACCAAAAATTTACTATCTCGAGATCTTCCGTGCTTCGGAAGGCACATTGAGCCATTGGTCCCTGCTGCTATCAATATGCCCTGTAGCACGCCATACTCAACACGCAAATCCGGGCTCATAACTCAAGAAGTAAGTAAGATAGCTGTGGAACGATGTCAACTGTTTTCGCCTTACTCCAGAGCGCTGAAGTTCATCTAATAGAATAGGAATTGAAACCATGTCGAATGATCAAGTCGAAAGCCTTGGTAAGATCAAGGAAAACAGACAAACGCTTACCTCACTTGTCAAGAGTCCTAACTGTATAGTCCGTGAGCTAATGGACAGCATCAATGGCAGATTTTTAGCCCTAAAACCATATTGTCCTTACGATAACAGAGCTGAATTTTTAAGTAAGTGCATTAGACACTTATTTGAGAGCTCTCCAAGATTTTAGACTAGTTATTAGGGCAGTATTTAGGGCCAGACTTGTGGATTGGATGATAGTCCTGATAAATTCGTTACATATGTGAGTTATCACCGTAACAAGGGTATTCTTGAAACGCTTAATAGAATAAGATATCATCCCACCCAATCGCACATTCGCTTTTTAGTGAATTTATGATACTATCAACCTCATCAATAGTGGTTTCAAGAAGAACAAATGACTTTATTGGTGTTTTGATAGAAGATGAGCAAAGGAGAGCAGCTGATCCCTTATTGGGTACAACATTGGGAGAGTTATTCACGATCTTTTTAGCAAGAGATTTACCCACACTAGCAAAGAAAGCATTTGCGTGATTAACTGATTGGTCTGGTGAGGATTTAGTTAGTAATAAGTCATCAGCCTTACTGCAGTTTTTGTTCATGTTAGCATCATCTCGAATCGCATCCCAGAGCTTTTTATTGTTCTTACCAGTCAAACGCAATATCTCTCAGTCATAATCCAATTTTATTTTTTGATAAGAGAATTACAAAAGTTACGATAGCGACGAAAAGTGATTTTAAAAATATCATTATTAGGATCTAGCTTAAGGCGTCTGTGCAGTTGATCACGATTTCTGATAAATATTAGTAAGCCCTGCGTTATCCAAGGTTTTAAAGTTTTTACGCCGGGAGGGAACTAAACTTGTGGTGTTTGAAGATATGACGAATCGGAGCATTTTAATTAATATATTAGTAGCAATATTTGGGTCACCAGCACGTAATACTAAGGAGAAATCCATATTTTCAATAGCTGTAACTAGTAAATCAAAATTGAGTTTGTTTTAAGTGTCGGTTTAGCATTTTTTTATATTTATTTAAGTAAGCACTGCGCAATGATCAGTTACTAAAGAGTCGATTACAAATGTTTAAGCCTAAAGTAGTGTTTTCAAAAATATATGATCGAGACATGTTCGTGCCCATGTTGGCAGAATATAAGCGGGTAAGAGGCCTTTATAAGCCATACTGTTTAAATAATATTCACTATGCTCATCCAGGCTCATCATCAGTACTAAGTATATTAAGATTAATGTTGCCCGTCACTAATATATTACTATATTTACGCAGCGAATTAACGACGTTGTGCAAGGACTGAATAAAATTATTTAAATGTTTATATGCACAAGGTCGGTAAATAGCTAGGATAACTATGTCATTATTCATTTCAATTTGTACAACAACTGTCTTCCGAGATAGTTAAGGTTATTATTTTAAAAAATAAAAATTAATTACATTGTGTAGAATCACTTACTTGCAAACAGTTATGCCGTGACAGTCACTAAGAGAAAAAAAAATGTTATTTCAGGTTATTAGTCGGAGCTCCGCTGGGCCAAAACCTCCAACCCAACACCAGAAAATCTGGTGCCCTATGGAAATGCGCTCTCACACCAGCCGTGCGAGACTGCGAGCAAGTCGTAACCGATGGCATGAGAAGTGAGTAACATACTTGCACGCTTATTGACTTAGTGATATGGCACGTAATGCCTTGTAAACTTCATTTAAAATCATCGTCTTTTCAAAAACTTTCATCATTCTAAATAAATTTTTGCTTTGGTTCTCTGATACTGAATTTTGGATTTACATATATTGTTTCCTACTTACTTAAACTCATTCTGGTATTTTTTCATGTGAGAATGTTTGTTTATTTAGGTATATATTTTTCTCTACATTGAACTCATAATATAATTTAAATGAAGTTTTACATTTTAAAACGTGTATTAAATACTGATTAGAATTAGATACTTATTATTATTAATTAAAAATGTGTAGAAAACAATTAACACAATGTAGGCACCACTTTTTATAATAGTGTAGATTGTACAAAACACAATCTAGTAAATTTTTTTTATGAATCAAATAGAAAATACACATTTAATAGTTTTTAGAACACTTACCTACAATATATCAGTTCAGCACTTGAGTGTTTGTTTACCTACTACTTAGTGCAATAGTTTTCAATTTAGTAGCAACTCGTAGTTAACAGCGTTATTAAAATGATACGTTAGGTTTTATAGTAATAAAAATTGCGGCCTTAGCAGTTATTTTTTTATGAAATTCTGTTAATGTTTTTAAATTCAAGAAAGTCTTTAATAGTATCTTAAATATGACTTTTAACTAAACTGTTGTCTTTTGTCGGTGGTGCCCCAAACAGCGAAGTACGGCAAAATAAGGACCAGTAAGTGAGCTGTGGTCTCAACCTCTTTTATTCTTAATCATTATGCTCTCGACTAATATGACTAATCCCCGTATTTTTTTTGACTTTTTCGTTAACTAAAAGGCCTGTATATATTAATTATTATATTAAACGAAATCGGATTAAACCTTTGGATTAGAATCAGATTAAGTTTCTCGTCTTTACAAATATCGTGTCTTTTCTTTCTTTAATGTATCTGATTTCGCATAATATTTTAATCATTAATCTAGACAATGGAAATATAATTGATTTACAACGCATGTGCACAATTAGCAACTGAAACATTTATTTTGCATATTTACATTATATATATGTCGTTTAGTATGTTGGATCTATTAGTATCTAGGCTGTGTTACAAAAGTCGGATCTATAAAGATCCAGCATGCAATCAAAAGCACTAACAGCTTGCCAAAGCACCCATTCACATGCTTATGCTAAAAGCACTACGAATGAAGCAAAATCCATTAATCGTATTCTTCATAAAATGTAAATTAAGAACAGTGTAATTGAGGTAGTATTAATAAAGCTTGAATATAAAATAGATGACGTAGAAGCTTTTGTAATATATAAATTAAGGAAAATTTTGAGGACAGATATCCTTATATTAACAATTCCCTAAAATTTCCAATAGATAGAGAATATAATACATGAAAATTCTGAAGGTGACTGGTTAACAATTATACAAAATTAACAATATAAAATTATGTGTATTAGTAAGAAAATGATCGCAGTATACAAAATATACCTTAATGCGTAAGATCACTACTAAGGTATAGCAATAGTATCATATAACTAAAAATATTAAAAAATATAACACTGGGCCGAATAACTTCATAGACTTAACGATTTACTGCCATACTTACATAAAACATAATTGGTGTCCTGTCTGGTGTTCTAACGAATCGGCCATCATTAATGACGTCAGAATCAGCTCTAAATTAACATCAAGTAGTCCTCGATAACGTTATTAACCTGAGACCACATGTTTTCGTAGCCGTATATTCTAAAAATTTATTTCAGGTTTGCAGGAGGTTTTTTAGAACTTCGTCACCTTAACTCAACATTGTCACCTACATTACATAAATTAGGACTATTTTTAATTATTGTAATTATTTTATGAACCGTCAGTATGCATGATTTTACTATACTTTTAGTATGTTTTATCATTAGCACGAAAGTTTCCAACGAATATATAATAAATCATTTTTTTTACTTTTGCTATTAGTTATAAGGATATAGCAGGATACACGCCTGGTTGCAAAGCTTTGCATTTACAAAGTTTACAACAAGTAAGATATTGGGATTTAACTCTTTAAAACCAAAAGCAATTTTCTGTTTCTATATTCATGTTGCTTTCGTTAATTAGTTAATAAAAACTAAAAAATATAATTCTTTTGGATTGATTACCTACCTACTTAAATTTTCTGTTTTTGGGTGAAAATAACATGGTTTGGTATGAACAGGGATCTTCCCTATACCAATTTACGAAATAATTGTGTCTAATTTGAGCTTTTTGAGTTTATAAGAAGTTTCTTTTTGCAATCATGTATTGTTTTAACAATTTTAATTTTTGTGTTCTTAACGTTATTTCGCTACAATATTATACTTTTGGCAATTACCTAATATTTCGACGCTTATAACTTTCGATCGAAATATTAATATTCTGCCGAACATGCTCACTGAAGGTTTCTTATAGGTATTGGCTTGGAATCAACAAATGTGAACCTGACTAGCCCTTACCCCGATGAGATCAAGGAAGGCCAGTGGCTCGGCGTCTCTGTGAGGAGCCAAGGCCCAGGCAAAAAAGCTGTTGTATGCGCTCATAGGTAAATGATAATAATCTACAGTACACATCAATTATTCTATTTCTGGTTATTTAACCAACTCTCGATCACTTATAAGGTGTCAGTGATTGTAATTATTTGAATTTGACGATCAGTCAATGAATATGTTCAAAGTAGTCAAATAATATACTTAGCTTTTTGATGCTTACAGATACATTCGCAAGGTTGGCGAGTCCCAATTAGGTCAAGGATTATGTTATATGCTAAACAACCAGCTTCGGTTAGCTGACATTTGGGAGCCTTGCAAGGGAAGATCTGTTGTCAGGTAATTTGTTAATTCTAGTTAGAAAATTAACCGTGGTTATGATAATAGATTTTATTTATTAAAAAACAGTTTTACTAAAAAAGTGCAAACTTGCTTTGAATAATTTCGTAGTAAAAATTCATGTCATATAACTATTTGACATGGGTACCATTACCCAGGTACATTATAATGATACTTTTGTTTAGATGTTTTCCTCTTACACTTAATCGAAATAATCGTAAAGTACTAAAGTAGTGAGTAAAAGTAACTACGTGCATGTTTCTATGATTGTTTCTTAATTAAAACATAATATACAAACACTGTTTACCTGAATACAGACGAAACCTTTTAACCCAGAAAAATATTAGTACACTGAGATTTTAAAAACACAAACTATAAGACTTACTGTTACTTGAATTGATTATCTGGAATACGGTAGTAGTAGGGACTTTGAATTTTGAAGCCACAATAGAAATCTAGTAAAAATGTTATTATTTATATCAAATCTAAAGAACGATTATTTAGACTTCCTGCATCATTCAGTGCTTAAAATTATTTCTCAACAAATTACACGTTACGACTGCCAGCAGACTTAAACCGCAATAGAAAATTACCGTGTATTAAAGTTGATGTCTGGACATTTGAATGTGCAGGTGATATCTTGGTGTTGCAAGAGTTGATAGATTATGACAGTACACTACTTAAATTAATTTGATATACATAGCTGCTTCATAGATTTGAATAACATTAATTGTATGACGTAAAAGATAAATCTCATACACATTATTTCGATTTTCAGGGAGCACGAGGACTTTGGGTTCTGCCAAGTTGGTACTAGCAGTTCCTTTCTAGAAGACGACACAATTTTGATGGGCAGTCCCGGTCCCTACACATGGAGGGGCACAGTCTTCGCTCAAGATGCCAATGATGATGTACTGGGTCGTGACAACATTGTCTACATGGCGCCGGTAGCTGACGGTGCTAGCCCCGTAGAGAAATATAGTTATTTAGGTAAATATCTCAAATATATCCATAGGCGTCCGTCAGCTCATTTGCCTGGTTAAGCATAAAAATGCATCTTGGGAGAGAAGAACATTTTCTTTATTTATCCGATTTAATGGAATCTCGATTCTACAGACAAGCTGAGGTTATATTGATTATATAAATCTATAAGAATTGCGGGAAAAGTTTCTTCGCATTTTATATGAAAATATAAAACATTTTTCAATAAAGTTTATTTATATATAACTAAAGTATGTAGGTGCCATTTTATTCGATAACTTTTTGACATCTTGTAGGTAGGGACTTGATCACATTGCTATAGAAATTTTGGGGCTTCTGATCAAAAACCGCGACAAGTGGTTTTGGTAGTCCTCTCGTGATGTTAACCTGACTCTGCTCTGAAGGTGCAAGGTCAGGACTATTCGGCGGATGCATTAACACATCCCAGTCTAACTCTCTTAATTTTTGCTGACTGGCTAAAAATGTCTGTGTGAGGTCTTGCGTTATCATGATGAATACCCACACCCCTTCTGTTGATTAATTCCGGCCGCTTTCTCTCAACTTCTTGCTTTAATCTCATCAGTTATTCACAGCAGAGTTCAGAATCGATGGTCCTGCCTGGCAGTTACAGCTCATAATGAATAATGCCCTTCCAATCCAATGTACGGTGATACACGCAGCATCACCTTGTTGCGAATTAACCCGGGTTTCACCAGTGTCTGTGGAGCTTGACCGGTCTTTGACCACGATCTTGTCGTACGTGATCCACGTTTCATCACCAGTTATCAGTTTCTTCAAAAAAGGTTCAGTTTTCTGTCGTAATAAATAATCACAAATGAGTACCTACACAGTTCATTAGGTTTCTTTCAGTGAGCTCGTGAGGCACCCAAATATCGAGCTATTTCGTGTACCGTGCTTTTTTCAAATGCGTCAAAATTGTTTTGTGGTTAATTCCCAGTTCTTCAGCTACATTGTCACTACTGCTATGCCGATCTTGTTCCACTTTTTAAAAAAATGGCATACATTTTATTCATATCAGGGCGACCTTTTTGTTGTAAACTTTAAAAATGTATCGAATTTCTTCATTACATTCATCTTGACAGTAAGAAAAACAAATTAAAATTACACATTTTTCTAATTTGAATTTGGAATTATCTTCTTTAAAAATTAAAACTGTAATGATACCAAAACCAGCCAGATACAAATGGTATAAAGAGATTTTATTACAAGTTCATACAAACTATAATGCGAATGGACTTTTTCTCCAACCTATTATAAATGTTAATACACACATTTGTGGTCTTAAATTTATTTTGCTTTTAAGTATTGGACTTAAACCGAATGAGTGAGTTATGTACACAAAATTTTATTTAAAAAAAATATTGTATAATTTTAATGTATGCCATCATGTATTCTGTATTCTTCAGTGTTTCCAGGTATATTATTTTTAAGTTCAGCTACTCCGGCACTTGCATTAGTGCCGAAATATTAAAGACTCGCCATAATCAAGGTACATGGTAGCAATCCCGCTAATTACTATAATGTTTCCAGGTATGTCTGTGACTGGAGCGAATTTCTTCGTGGACAAACCTTCATACGCGGCGGGAGCACCGCGCGCCTCGGGCACCGGCCAAGTTGTCATCTTCAGCAAACCCATTATAAAAGATTGGACACGCACCGACATAGATATCCTCAAGGTCGCGTTGATCTTCAAAGGCGAGCAGTTTGGCTCTAGCTTCGGATATGAAGTTGCTTCTGCTGATGTCAATGGTGACGGGTAAGTAAATATTAAGATTATTTTTTTAGTTATTAAATGGTTAATAGGATCTGAGTAGGGAATAAATTGCCGAGTGTGTGGCGGCCTAAAGTAGAACAACCCCCTCTCGTCCCATGAATGTCCTTGAAGGCGACTACGGGAACACAGCCAGCAGAAAATTGAATTACACGCACTTCTAATTCTTGTATCATCATGAAACTTGGCAATTATATGTAGATTAGATGACAATGCAATATTATGGTACCATCGAGCTGGTCTGAAGATGGGACTGGAAGGTGGCTGGTGGAACCTCGGACTGCCTACTAGTAAACGTATCGAGTTTGGGCTCATTACATGCGTCCTATCATGTTCTGTTCATTTTTCCCGATAAATGAAACTAAAAAGAGTTAAATAAATTAATAGTTTAAAAAACTAAAAATACGCTTTATTTACTACTAAAAAGTCAAAAATAAACAAAATTTACTCTCTGTTAACTTCATTAGGGTCTAAGAGTAAGCCATGTTTATTTTAACATAAATATATAATAGAAAAAGCGTGGGGCGCTTCATTATAAAATTTTAACAGCATTATGAATCGCGTAATATATTATTTTTCAGTTATATATATATATAAATATATGTTAAAATAGACTATAAACATGGCTAACTCTAAGGCCCTAATGAAGTAAACCGATATTATATTTTGTTTATTTTTGGCTTTTTAGTGCAGTAAATAAAGCGTTTTTTAGATATTTTAAATTTAACCAAAAAAATAAGTGCCAGGCCAACTCAAGTAGTAAATGAGAACTCGGATCTCTTACACCTGCATGGCGCCGACTCCAAATATTAATGCGACTAAAGATAAAAAATGTTTATTATTTTTTACTTTTCGGCGCTTTAATTTATTGTCAGAAAGATTTTCAAGATTTTTTTTTCTAGAAAAAACCTAGCATTTAAATCCTTAAAAAGATACTATTATTTTCGTAATATTTCATTATAGTTGGCAAGCTTGGTTAGAAAAACAGGGTTCATGTCGTGGTGGGGAACTCATGTCTAAATAATATATAAAACCTCTAAATCTGAAAATCATTAGAAACGCACACGGAAGTCTAACTACTGTTATTTCTTCTTTCCAGTCTACCAGATCTTCTAGTAGGAGCTCCCTTCTACTTCTCCCGTGACGTCGGTGGGGCTGTGTATTTGTACTTAAATAATAACTTCAATTTCACATCAAAATACGACGTCAAACTAACTGGTGAACCTGAATCACAGTTCGGTATCACAATTGCAAATGCAGGTGATCTAAATAAGGATGGCTGTGAAGATGTGGCTATCGGCAGTCCTTATGAAGGACAAGGCGTAGTATACATTCACATGGGGGACAGAAAAAGTGGTCTTAATTCAAAACCGGATCAAGTTATTAGAGCAGAATCTTTGCCGATGACTTTGAGAACATTCGGTTATTCTTTGTCTGGTGGTGTCGATTTAGATGGTAACGGCTACCCTGATCTACTTGTTGGTGCTTATGAAAATGTGAGTACAAAATTATAGCTGTATACTGTCATTTAATTTCAGTTTACAGCAATGGCCTAATAAACCATTTCTTCAGCTTACTTATACTGCGATCCTTTCTTGAATTTCCGTTTTGTGTATAGGCAATATGAAACAGATATAAGGGTTGTATAAATGTATACCAGCGCTTAATTAGCTTTTAATTTTTTTTCTCTCTCTTTTTTTTTTGTAACAAGTTACGTATTTTCTAATTGAATCTCTTTACATTTACAGAGTAGCGTCGCACTCATTCGTACTAGACCTATCATCGATATCAAAACTTCAGTACATCCATCAAACACCATTATGAACGTCGATCCAAGTGTACGCGGTTGTGAGAAAGATCCTATGGCTAATTACACATGCTTCCATTTCCAAGCATGCTGCATCATCGAATCTCTCGTCAGATCGACTAAAACCAATGTTCATACATTGAACTACGTTATTGAAGCCGAAACATTCCCTGGTGGGCGAAAGTATTCGAGAGTATTCTTCGATAGCGAGAAATCAAATATTATCAATAACACCATACGTTTGAGCAAAGATGTGGAAGATTGCAGAGAACACATCGTGTATCTGAAGAATAATACTAGAGACATACAGACTCCGATAAAGGTAGTAATTTATACCCCTGTTATCCAACTAGAGACTATCTACCTACCTTAGAGCCTTTGCTTAAAGTTAGATATTTACTAATCAGATGATTACTATAGAATTAATCACAATAAAAAAATGTATTATTCAAAATCTATTTTTGGGACTGTTTGATTTATATCGTCATACTAGTCGGTGCCAGCGACTACCTCTGCGTTCATAATTCACCTTTTCACCCCCTTAAAAGATGATTTCTGGGATAAAATTTATCCTAAACTTTTTTCATGGCTCAAACTACCTCTTCACCAAATTTCATTCGAATTGGTTCAGCGTGAAGAGGTAACAGACAGACAAACAGAAAGATATACAAACAGACACACTTCATAACATTTATTTAATTCTCTAGTAATTTTATATCTATACTAATATTATAAAGAGGAAAGATTTGTATGTAAGTATTGTTTGTAACGAATTGGCTCAAAAAGTATTGGACCGATTTTAAAAAATCTTTCACCATTTGCTACATTATCACTGATTAATATAGGATATAGTGTGTTTTCAAAAAAGTTATGGTTCCGTATGAAAACTTCGATAATGTAACCCAACGTGTGTAAAAAATACCAAAAAATAGCCTTATATCGCGCACGTACCTGCGGAAGTCATTGACAATAGAGCAAAGTGATGTACTAAAGTTTTATAGAAGACTAGCTGACCCAGCGAACTTCGTACCGCCCTAAAAAAATAGGGGTTGTCCAGCGGACAAAATTGTGGATCTAAACCATTCTCAGATCCCCTTGAACACACACAAAAAATTTCATCAAAATCGGTCCAGTCGTTTAAGAGAAGTTCAGTGACATACACACTCACAGAAGAATTATATATATAAAGATAACAATATCTACAAAAAAGTCTGCGATACCATATGTCTAACTACACACACCGGCACAATTAGGGGAACACAATAAAAAAGTAGATTTTTTTCAATACCTTCGGATATCTTGACAAGTTGGTATTATTTATATATTACTACCCTCTCTAGAAATACACTCGACCACAAATTTCTCATTCATGTGTGTGAGGATTGTTTTTATGGCACTTTAAGAATTTGCTGACACTTAGCGTTAGCATTGCTTCTGATAAGAACTTTGTTGGGTCCTGTGCATAGTGACTGTGGCTCATTCAACTGTTTGTTTTTAAATTGTGTACACATTCCCGATACGAAATGAGTGATTTGCTAGCAACTACAGTGGCTAGGGCCGTAACCATGATCGAAGAGGGGCATACCTACCGCTCAGTAAGTCGAGCTTTGGGTGTATCGACTTCGGTGGTTCATCGCGTTGTTCAACGCTACAGGGAGACAGGATCTTACGTGCGGAGGCGAGGACAAGGCAGAAATCGGGCTACAAGCACCGTTGATGACCGTTTCATCACCTTGCAAACTTTGAGAAATCGTCGACAGACCGCGCTTCAGACCCGAAATCAACTGGCTGAAGTCCGAAACGTTAATGTTAGTGAACGAACAGTTAGGAGGCGTCTTAATGAAGTTGGCTTAAGATCTTATGTGCCAGCAAAAGCACCTAAATTCGAGCTAGCTCATCGTGTAGCAAGGTTTGCGTTCGCCCGTGCGCACCGAGATTGGACAAGTGAGTGGAGTCGCGTTTTATTCACCGATGAGAGCCGTTATTGTGTTAATTTCGTGGATGGACGGGAGAGGATGTGGAGATATCGTGGAGAACGATATAACCAAACAAACTTCACAGAAACAGTGGCATATGGTGGAGGATCAGTAATGGTATGGGGTGGCATATGTTTGGGAGCTCGCACAGACTTAGTGCTTATTGAAAACGGATCTCTCACTGCACAGCGATACGTTACAGAGATCTTAGAACCATATGTCATGCCTTTTGCCCCATTTATAGGCCCACATTTCGTTTTCATGCACGATAACGCGCGTCCCCATACTGCGCGTATCGTGAGTACCTACCTGAATGAGGTTGGCATTAGTCAAATAAACTGGCCAGCGCGATCGCCGGACATGAACCCTATAGAACATGCCTGGGATATTCTGGGAAGAAGAGTTCGACAGCGAAATCCAGCTCCCAGGAATGTTGAACAACTGAAACAGGCATTAGTGGAAGAGTGGAACAATTTGCCTCAACCAATGATCGATGGTCTTATTCTGAGTATGGGAAATCGTATTCAAGCTCTCCTAAGAGACCGTGGAGGCAACACTCGCTATTAATTTTAAGATTTTTTTGTTAATTTTGTAAAAAAACAATTTAAAATCTAACACTCCTAGTGCCTTATTTTACAAGTTTTCGTAATAAACGTTTAATTTCTTTAAAACCTGGTTATTTGTAGCTTATTTTGATTTAATTTAGTTATTTTCAGGCAATGTGATGTGTTACTGAAGTCCAAAAAAATATTAAAAATAAATTCATTGAAAAAATCAACCTTTTTTTTGTGTTCCCCTAATTGTGCCGGTGTGTATATTACAGTTATGTCACAACTAGAGGTCTCCTACGGTTTCACTCGCGTTAATTTGAAGAAAAAGTTTTATAGTGAGTCAAACTTAAAATATGTCATGACTTTTTTCCGAACTTTTAAAGAGGAAGAATTCCGTCATACATGATATTTGTGTAACTTTAACCGTTTACCCAGCGTACCCAACGAAATCCCACCAATGGAATATTTTTACCCGTTTTTGCAACATTTTTACTCGATGTTCCGCTGCTACTGGTCGAAGCATCAATATATATCCTTCCTCGACAAATGCACTCTCCAATACAAAACTAATTTTTCAACAACGCAACAGTGCAACGGGTCCTAAACTACGCAACGATTTTTTTACTTGGAATGGAAGGTTTATAATTATTATGAAGAAAGTCATTGTGTACAATACAAACCTTTGAACAAAAACTATGATCTACACTTCAGCTCTACACCGAAGCAAAACGAGGGCGGGCCACTAGTATAATATATATACTGAACACAGAGCCCTAATACCCTTTAGAGTTGTAGAAGACTAGAATAAAAAAATCCAATTTTATTTATATCATGAAGATTATTATTTCCGACTGAGTCAAAAAAAAGAGCTCTAAAACTAAAAAAATGAGTTTTTAAATAAGAAAATATTAATTCTCCTTTTAGTTCCAAGTGACGTACACTCTAGAACACGATCGCCCTCGATACTCCACCATAGGCCAGCTGCCCAACATTGACGACTACCCAGTTCTTAACGCTACAGCCACGACAACCTTCAGCGCCAACTTCTTGAACGACTGTGGAGTCGACGGCATTTGCGTTAGCGATTTGGTGGTCAATCCAGTACTGCAATTGCCTAAAGGTAAGATATTGATATTGAAATCACATTTTGTCTAGAGCATGGACGGCCTCCATTTCCCAACATTGATGAATACCCAGTCCTCAACGCTGCAGCTACCATCACTGCGTAAATGATTTGGTGGTCAATCCAGTACTGCAACTGTCTAAAGGTAAATATTGATCATGAAATATATAATATCTCTAGAGCACGAAAGGCCCCATTACTCCATTGCCCAATATTGATAATTATCCAGTCCTCGACGCTACAGTTACTACAATCTTCAGCGCTAACATATTGAATGACTGCAGCATCGACGACATCTGTGTTAGCGATCTTTTGGTCAACTCAGTATTGCTACTGCCTAAAGGTAAACCATCCTACTGGAAATTACATTATTTCTAGATCACGGAAGGCCCAAATACTTCATTGCCCAAGATTAATGACTACCTGGTCCTCAATGCTACAGCTATCACCACCTTCAGCCCCATTTTCTCAGATAACTGCGGCGTTAATGGAGAGAATTGTTAGTTGTGAAGTCAGTTCATCTCTGTTGCTATCCTGGCGGACGCCAATATTTTCGAGATTTTGTTAACAAATAGGGAAAAATGATTTGTAAATATGAAACTATAAATTATGTCAATATTTGGTATGTAGGCGTTAGCAAAAAAGATTAAACTATTCAAATAATTGCTACTCCCAATTCGAATAAAAAAAATATATCCCATATTTTTTATGATTTCAGCTGAAGGAAACAAAGCGTATGCTTTGACTTTAGGTCAAGAGGAAGAGATCAGACTTTCAATTTTAGTGGATAACTACGGTGAATCAGCTTACGAGACACAATTATTTGTACAGCATCACGCTAGTCTTCATTATATAGCTGTTAATATAAGTGTAAGTATGTAGTATTATTAGTCTTTCTGCGTCCAGTTTATTATTCCAATCTCTTGAAATTTGAATAAACCTCTGCAGACAAGATTTAAATTTATTTTTAAGCTTTGTGCTTATTAATTTTTATCATTTTAACTGTTGAAAGTTTTACTACTAAGGGTGTGCCCTAGTGCCCAAGTAGCCTTCCGACATTATTTCCATTCCAGATGCATTTGCTATCATTAATACTATTAATTAAAATTTGGATAATACAAAGTATGATGTAACTAATGTCTTAAGGTTCCTGGTTCTTTGTTACAAATTCCTGGTTATTTGACCTTTGCTACATTCATTTTGTAATTTTAAATTGAACACTTTGTCCTTGTTTTTGGTTTATTAAGTGATTAAATCGAACTAATTTTAATTTCGTAACTTCAGGATAAACACGTGATTTGCACGAGCTTGAACAAAACTGTGGTCTCGTGCCTCCTAGAGAATCCATTTAAGAAACAACCTGATGGTACTCCTCCGATAACGATGCGATTCGACGCTAGAGCTCTAGAAGACAACGAACCTTCCGTAGTGTTCAATGTGTGGGCCAATTCCACCTCTAAAGAGTTGTATCCTGGCAAGATACCCGCGAAAGTGGAAGCGCTAGTGATTAAGAACGCTGAATTGCTGATCAAAGGGTAAGCATATTTAAAATATTTTTGATAAATAAATCAGTTTAGTGAAATTGTAAAACTTAAGTAAATAGACGCCAAGCCACAGTTAAAGTAATCGTGGAATATACCAGAATGTATCGTAGAATTCATAGAAACTCTGTTTCTATGAATTCAGTGCAGAAGTGGAAGCCAAATTGCTGACTTTTTCGTTTCCATTCGAGGATAGTGTAAATCCATCAAAAAATTGAAATTTATTTCTACTATCGCGCCGTGCAAACCAATTAACTAATACATATATAAACGATAGTACTATAAATGATATCCAACACCATCATTGTCAGCCTACCAATGTCTTCACTGCATGAGAACGGGCATTTCGTATGGATGAATTAGGAGGATTTTATTAACTTTTCAAGTAAAGCTTTAGAAATTTATCTCCGTTTTTTATTTAACAGTCTTCTAAAAAAATATAATTTCAGCGCTGCGAGACCTGAGCAGGTGTTCTATGGCGGCGAGGTGAAAGGGGAATCCGCTATGACTCACTTCGATGATATCGGAACCAGAGTCATTCATACATATCAGGTAATATAGAATTTGTAGACTATGTTCCAGTAAGTTCCATAGTTCACACATTGATAATAACAATTTAAAAAGAAAACCACATGCTGGAATCTGAGTTAAAGACATGTCAGCTGATATAATTCCTATGTTAATAATAAAAAAACTAAACTTTTATTACCTTTATTTTTCATTTAAGCATTCAACAACTCTAGAGTGATATATATCTAAAAAAAACTGTAAAAGCTTTTCATGGTATGGTGTACAGTACTTATACGAATTGATAGCGGGTTGGCGAAGGATATGCCGGTTCGGATTCAGTTCAGCCTGACACTTGCTAGGGCGAGATAAAATTTTACCAATAAAATCTAACTTACGTGCTCCTTCTCTATTTCTTATAAATTACATAATATATTTGAGATTACTAAGCTAAAACTAAATACCCTTTTACTTATAGGTATTCAATGAGGGTCCATGGCGAGTGTCCTCCGTCCAAGTGGTGATATCCTGGCCGCACCAGGTGGCGTCAGAAAACGCGCAGGGCAAATGGCTTCTCTATCCAGAAGATGTTCCCACTGTTGATGGTGAAGGTACTATTATCATTTTAAGTTATAAACTATTTGTTGATTGTTTGTTTCTTTAATTGGTATTTATTATTAATAACACAACATCTATTATTTCTCTTCATCATGAATATCTGCTACTACAGATTTACATCCTTCTACTTTAATTTATTTTATACCTGCAAGTGATAATAAGGCAACATAATTTCTGCTGATCTCAATTTATAAGAAGCCGAAACGATTTGTTTTCTTTTCAATTCTTTGCGTTTAGTCCTCATCTTACCAAGTTAATTAGAAATGTTAAAGTAATAATTCAAATAAATATGCACATTGGTAAATTAAATATTTACGCCTATACTGGATTAAAAGCTTAAGTAAAACAGAGTACACCAGCAGCTAACTTTTGTTCACATTTAGTGATAGCTTATCGAGAGACACGGTCGCTTTGAAAAATGGTGTAAGCGATGAGTTGACGATATAGCTGGACTATTGTCCATATAATGCCCTTAGATAGTCTGAACTATTGTTAAGAGTATCTAAGGGTGTAAGCTTACTGAATACATCAATGTATGAAAAAATAAATAAAAGTTCCTGATTTTTTTATAGGACAAAGTAACGGCGAATGTTTTATATCAGAAAATCAGATAAATCCTCTCAAGTTGACTCAAAGGCCTGGTGTTCCCGAGCCATACTTGGAGAATCTTGAGATGGATCCATTCCTTAGGACCGGGAAACTCAGCGTCAGCTCAAACGAGAAGCAACATAACGAAACTAAGAAAACGTACGAATACTCTAGTGGTATAGAAAACAAAGTAAGAAGGAAACGAGAGAACGATATCGTTAAAGCAGAAGCGTATACAGACAAGGATGGTCAACGTAAGCAAGTGGTCAATATGGTAAGTTATAAAAATAAAAAAATATGTTATTAAGATTAACATTTATTTCAATTACTGAGTAGTTTAGCCTTGAAGCTACTGCAACAGAAAGTTGCATAAATTCAGTTTTCAGGACTATTAAAAGAACAATTGTAACTAGAGGATTTTTATTTACAAGCTTTTATTTAACTTGCAATGTATGTTTGTTCGGGTGGAATCTTACATTTCAATTTTAAGGCACTTGCCCTCAACCGATTGAGCTGAAATTTGGTATGCACGTTCAGTTCGGATGATAATGCACGATTAACAGTGTGACGTCATTCTAAATCCAACATGGCGGCATACCCAAAATGGCGAACAATTAATTTTTAATGCATTCATACAATATGGGTATCAAATTAAAGGGCTTGCTGAGAGTAACTCGAAAAAAATGTGACGTCACTCTTGATCCAATATGGCGGAATTTAAAACTTGAAAATCAATTTTGAAACAGTTTTTTTTAACCGATTGAACTGAAATTTTTCATACACGTTCAGTTTGGATGACAATGCATGGTTAACTGTGTGACGTCATTCTAATCCAACATTTCGTCATATCCAAAATGGCGGACCAATCCATTTTAATGCATTCCTACAATACGGGTATCAAATTAAAGCATTTAAATAAAAGCTTATTTTTAAAAAGGTTTTTTTACCTTAATTTTAAATTAAATTAGACGATATTATTATTCCCACTCAAATCGTTGACAGTATAGGAGTTCTCACTTATTGAACTCTGACAATATTTGATGTAAGACTGACTTAGTGCATTTATAATATGGCCTCACGCAGTGATAATATGATCAGATATTATCTATATGTATACTGATATCGTCACAATGCAAAACATAGGTAACTTAAAATTTATGTTAGTGTCTCCTGATCCGAGATCAGTGCAATCTTAGTTATCTCTCGTCATTTCAAAACGTGCAATATCTCGTTGAAACTCAGATCAAATAAAAAAGTATAGATGGAAATCTGCGAACAACAAAGTGGCGCCAGCTAAAAATAAACCAACATTTACCAGCCGTCAGTGGTAAAACCTAGCACGCACAATTGAATGACGATGGCAACAACAAGCCACGCACAACATGCATACAAAACGAAGCCACTATGTTGTTTGTTGTGTTCTATATGTATGTACTTTTTAATTGATCGGAGCGTTGAAACTACATTTCAACCAAAATATTTCGGTTTCCTATAACCGAGTACTCAAAGAGACAATTATCGCGTTCCAGAACTGCCAGAAGAAGACGGCGAAGTGCATCCAGTTCCAGTGCGTGATCTACCGTTTGGGGCGAATGCAGGCAACCACTATCACTGTGAAGGCGCGTCTGTGGAACGCCACTCTAGTGGAGGACTATCCACGCGTCGGCCACGTCAATATAGCGTCTTCCGCCTACATCCTGGTGCCGGAACACTACAACCTGCACCAGAACAAGCACCACGACGACTCCACCACGGTCAGTGGCCTTTTTTCAAAGTTGGGAAAATGTATGACATGTACTTAGGGTGGTCGTGAAACATCCGGATTCTCCCCAAATTGTATGTGATCTCCAGACTCCCAACTTAAGTAGGACGTGTGACGACTGGCAGGCTAAAAACCTAATAATGATCCTGACCTCGTTCCGACTGTGGTTCTGTCAAGTGAGTAGCTACCTGTCGATCCATCGCCCGGCACGGGCCAACGGCATTATAAAATCCAACGGTAAACGAAATTCTATTAAGTCCGTTAGTTAGATGATCAAAAAATAATGGACACGTATCTTTTCTTTAGGCAATCAACCAAAAAATGACAAAGTTATAGCGCGTCAAAGTTTGGGAGTAGGAGCTCGTGACGTCACTTTTGAGTGAATTTTCACTTATAAGTGTACTCAAACGTGACGTCATGCGACTTTTCAAATTAATATATCTCTGCAATGTTTATATTATGTGAAAAAAGAAAAAAATACGTGTCCAATACTTTTTGATAATCTACCTGATGAACGAAGAAAAAAAATAGTCATCATCCCTATTTACTGTTACTTTCAGTTGATATCCAAATCTAGAACCAAACATTTTAAGTGCTTATTTAAATCTGACGTTTGAAAATTTGCAGGTGGAGACCGTCGCTTATCCAGACTTGAAGATAAGTGAGCCAACAGATGTCCCATTATGGGTGATCATCTTATCAGTGATCATCGGACTAATAGTGCTAATATTACTGATAATAGCGTTATGGAGACTCGGTTTCTTTAAGAGAAGCAGACCGGATCCGACATTGTCGGGAAATCTGGAGAAGAACAATCACGAGTCTTCCCCGTTCATAGTGAGGGACCGGAACAATATTCGATAGCTAGAGTACTTTATGGTCAGAAGTGACAGTGGACTACAGTGCGAAAGATTTTGATTAGTGACAAAATTAAAATCGTCTGGTGACAAAAGAAGAAATAAGATTTTGACGATTGACAAAATTGTTTTGTTTGTATTTGCCTGGTGACAAAATGATACAAATTGTGATCTTACTTAACTTATTCTGAAGTCGTATTTCATTTTGTTATTTTAGTTTTGCACTAATTTAAGAAACCTTATCAAAAAAGTTATCATCTCTTCAGATGATGTCATAAATCGTGTTTTTTGAAAAGGTTTTTATCCCATGTTGTGTTTTAAGGTTATCAAGGCGATGGCGATGTGTTGGATAGATAAATTATGAAAATATATTTTTTGACTGTGATGTCTTCATAGAGGAAAAAATGTGTGCTTATGTGATGTTTTAAACGGTTAACATGTATAAGTGTTTTGTTGAATTTGCACGAGTCCTTTTTTATGAATAAGAAATTTTATTAATTATTATTTTTTCTATTTGCATTTCTTTATTAGTATTAGGTAGGTATATTATGAGCTATGTGAGTTTGTGTTTAGGGTCCTGTGTGCCCAAAGGGTGCGAACGTAAAGTTATCACTAGGTAGTCTATTCTGAACGTTCGTAAAGGCAGTTTCAGTGGTAATAATGTTTATACATTTTTATAGGGAAAATGGCATGTCCGTCAGGTAAATCATCAAAAAATAATGGACACGTATTTTTCTTTGACAATCAACCAGAAAATTACAAACAAAAAGCCGCGCAAAGTTTGAAAGTGGGCGCTCGTGACGTAACTTCTGCGTAAAATTTTTACCCAAACATGACGTTATGCGACGATTTAAATCAATATAATGTAATGTTATGATGTGGATAAGGAAAAAATACGTGTCCAAAACTTTTAGATAATATACCTGATAGACGAAGAAAAAAAGTTAGACCTCATTCCTATTCTTTTAGCCCTTAAGTTGGCAAAATCCAGTAATAAATATTATAACTGACTTAATTTGTGATTGATTTCGGACAACCGCAATTTATGTAAGTGATATTTACAATAAAATTATCTCTTTATTGTACAATATGAACATATCCATTGACTGATAACCTAGTAAGGGAGATAGAGCTGGCAAAGGAATGTAAGAATGTTTTGAAACCATCCAGAACTTTAGTTACGTCCGCTCAGAGTAGACCCTTGATATCAATTCGTCCTTCTATCCATTTTATTATAGAATGGATTCTTGTAAATAACTTGCCTTGCAGAATGCTTTAAAGTAATGTGGCTTGTGACTTACTCAGCGATCATTGTTTCTGTTTGAAAAAGGTCTTGTATAAAATCGTGATAGACAGATTTGGGCTAACAATGAGTAAATATTGTCTATTACATACACAAAAAGAACCCTGAACGTTGATCTAAATTTGAGAGCAGTCTCTCCTTTTCATTATCTATAGAGCATGATAAGGATAAACTACCATCAAATGAGGATCATTACCAGGTCAGAAAATCAACTCAAACTCAACAGTGGAATGATCTAGTAAAATACTTTTTAAATCATCTGAATTGGTTCTTTCGTAGCGATTTTATAACTAATTTTATGGTAGCCAATATTTACCGGCGGCCGAAACGTGTGACGTCACAGAGCTCGATCGTGGTTCGCTCCGGTCGATCTTTAGTAATGTCTTTACGCACGCTCGCGCCCGAGCGCTAGAGCTCTGTGACGTCACAGTCACCACAGTTCAGTAATTTGGTCATTACTTCGTCAATATTAGTCGTAGAAGAAAAATTTAACCACTGTATTTTATGGAATTTTACGGATCCTCATTAAGTTACTTTTTTTCAAGCCCAATGTCGACTCTATTTAGTTTTTAAAGTAATTTGTGTAGCACTGTTTTTGATGAGAAAAATAATATGTATTATTATATCATAGTACAGACAATGTTTGTTGATATAGTCTGATTTACAACTCATGTATTACATATATTATAGCAGTTAGAGCAATATTCGTAGCCAAGGGCGTATTTACAAATTTGGCGCCCAGGGCCACATAAAATTTGAACCCCCCCCCCTTTGGATTAGTAAATCAAATCAAAATATAGGTCAGTAACGACGGCCTTTCAGTGGCTTCTGCTGCCTCTCGCAGCCCACTGTTGTATCACTATATTAAATTTTTAGTTCAATGTAAGCACCAATAATTTGTTCATTTATTTAACCTCGTGAAAGTCAAAAGTAAAGTCTGTAGCCATATTGCTTCAAATACTGCTTTTATTTATGAATAGTTTTAAAGTCTACTTAATCGGCTAGATTTCTAGTCACAATAATTATGGTGTAGTTAAATAGTAAACTTTATTGTGTTCGATAATGTTTATTGCGTTGTCGATGTATATAATGGTCACAAAACTATGTTAGGAAATACGAAATAAAGTGTCCTTCGAGTTGAGCTTTCATTATTCCTTTGTAAGTTATTGAAAGTTAAGTTGTGCAAGCTGAGGAAATAATAAAACGTTTAACTGTAAAATGAAAATCCAACTTTTCGCAATTACGGCTAAATTCTCACTTTATTTATTACTTAGTATCAAAAAGATTGTTTGTGTTATAAAAACTATGACTTATTACACTAAGATAAGATATTTAAGATATAGTACTTACTTGACTATTGATAACATTATTGTTTGGTGTGTCAATTTACATGGTGTTTAAACAGAGTGTTTTTCAAGAACAATTTTTCTTAAATATTCCTTTAGAGTAGTCCGCATAAAACGCTTTCAACACGCGCAAGAATAGTCGTCCGCGTCATCAAAACTGAATATCAACCAGAAATGAATACAACTCTTCAATTTGTTCGTGTAATTTTATTAAGAAATAGAAATACACCCCTTAAATAAATCACTATATTACACCTTCGCTCCTTGAATGTCACACAATTTTGAAGAAGTAAGTATATACTCGATCTCCCTATTCTCGATCGTAATTGCTTCAATACAAAAATGACGTGTAAATTGACTCTCAACATTCGTTCTATATTGTAAATTATAAAACTGATAGCTTAATATTTATCTAAGAGTTGTAAATTTGTATACCTATGTAGACGTAGTTTTTTTACTAAATCTCTTACGCTTTACTATATCGTCAGTAATTTAATAAAATTATCACCATAGCACTGCCAACGAAACTATAAAATAAATTAAGAAATAATTGTTGTTTATCTTTTGTAGTTTCTTTTGTATAATCACTTGTAATGAAACATAATATACCATATCTTTTCTGTAAACATAAAATTGGTTTGTAAAACATCTTTGGAAGCTTAAAGCTAGGCAAAAGAAAATACAAAGGGCACACCAAAAAAATTGTGATTACCAAACTTAGTAAAGTAGGTATACACCAACTAATTAAAAAAAACAGCAAATTCCATATTTAAGTGTATGAAATATATTCAGAAAAGATATCAATGAATATGTAGGCTTTAAAGCATGTACACTTGGTACTAAATTACAGTCACAAAAAATTGTAGAGATATAGGAACGATGACGGGGTAAATTAAATGAAATTCTATTAAGTACGTTAGTTAAATTGTCCTAAAATAATGGACACTTATTTTTACATTGAACATGACAAAGATTGCGTCACGCGCTTTGCGTCAGTTTTGGAGTGGCTTCTAAGTAAAAATGATAACAATAATATCTATGTATTTTTTGATTATAAGTGAATAAAGAAAAAATATGTGTCCAATATATTTTGATAATCTACCTAATGGACTAAGAAAAAGAAGTTAGTCATCATCCCTTTTCTACTTTTCCTTTTTTTCTAACAGGTGTGCCAATCAATTCAAATGTTTCTTGAACTTTGAATAAATGAAATTATCTGCATTATGTAAATTAAAACGACTAGACTAATATTGTTGCAATTATTGTACTTTCGATTACCTATCAGTTATAGTAATTACTGATAGGTAATCGAAAGTACAATAATTGCAACAGTAGTTGGATCAAACTTTACACGCTTGTCCCTAATTTATAGTATAATCAACACCTTCTTTACCCGTTTTTATAATTACTGGTTGTGATGACTTCTGTTTCCTTTTTCTGGAAAAAACACCTCTTATGTTATAATAATAATAAAAAAAGTAGTACATTTTTTATAGAAATAAATCGTGCCATTTTGAGAAAAAGTATTTTTATTTCACGTTACCTCCAGTTTGGATTTACACTCTACAAAATAAAATTAAAATAATATAGTTATTTATTGCCTTTTCTTAAAACTAAACGAAAATGAGTAATTAATATTTAAAAAAAAACTGTAGTTATGAGTAAATAAAATCTAAAATTTTAAATTGTGTTTCAGGTTGATAATTTGTTCAACATTAACTTACAAATGCATAAGTTTGAGTCATTGGAAAGCTAAATATCTACTAGAATACTCCTTCTATAATTTGTTGATATGTTATTATGTTAGGGTATGAAATTTCATAAGAACATTATAAATATTACTATACGATATTGACAAGACTAGAAACTTAGAACGATTAATAAACTCCGATATTTAAATCAACATGGACTGCCGTAGAAATTGTGGTTAATAGCCGGATTCATCTGAAAAAGAAAACAGATATTTTTAATACATTTCCTTTTCTTTTACAACCTTAACATCTAAATTAATATCAGAACATTATGTCAGAATAAAATCAAATAATACAAGTTAGAGATAAGATATAAATCTTTACCTTTTTATATTAGAAAGTACAACTTAATATTAAGCTTATTATCTTAAGCTTTTTGAATACCAAAATACAAATTAAAATGTACAAAAAAATGTTCTGACTGTCTACGTATGGTACTTGTCGTCAAAGCGCTAGTAATAGCGCCGGAAATTGTTTTAGAGAAAAGAGCAGCTGGATAGCTGATGGTGACAAGAATGGACTAAAAGCTAAGGTGTTATAAGCGTATTCGTTAAATATCTATAATAATATCGAATCGTACCCGAACTCGATGACTTAAAGCGACAACAAGAACAAACACTACACATAGATTTTGACTCAGTCACGTAATTGAAAAGTTCTCATAGTTCACTGTTTGTTTCCTCTGTCTCGTGAATAAGTTGTGTTTTAAGATTCCGTATGCAAAGGGTAAAGACGGTCAGTGGAGTCTTCAGAACCTATTACGAAGACTCCACGATCCGTCTGTTTGTTTGTCACCAGGCTGTATCTAATGAATCGAGGTAGCTAGACAGTTAAAATTTTCACAGATGTATTTCAGTTGCCGCTCTAACAAGAAATACTAAAACAATAAAATATGGGGATCCCATACAAAAAACGTGATTTAATGCCATGTTTTGTTGGATATAAATAATGGCAACAGGTTGACGCTTGAAATATTCGCAGAAATTTGTTATGCATTCACTTTAAAACTTAATACTTAAATTAAAATAAATGAAATAGTTTATATTTTTATTTTAAGCTTTTAACTGCTGCGGGTTCGAGTCCCGTCTGCTGCCTGGACCGCATTAATTTTTTTCTAGTAATATTTTCTTCAGTCATAATCTTTATTACCACAAAAAGGTTAGACATGTGTTTAACCAAAAAAAATACATACCAATTTAGCACATTTTATACTGTAAGTCAGGACAAAATTTTCATATTATCTTGATGTTGCAACATTTAATTAAAAATAATTTTTTATAAATTAATTAAAAATAGTCTGAGCATGATTTTTTAGGCAACCCATTTTTAATATTCTAAATTCATGATAAAATATGTTTCATTCTATTATCATATCGGTGAAGGTCGGTGTAGGTTCGGATCTTAGACTATAAACAAGGTTTGAAACCGTGTCTCACTTTTTTGTAGTAAATTAATATTTCTGGGCGGTTCCCATACAACAGACGTGATTTTTTAGTGGTCGGATGGTCTAATGTTATATGGATACTGGTACGGAACCCTTCATGCGCGAGTCCGACTCTCATTTGGCCGGTTTTTTTAGACTACACACTATCTGTAATATTTACTGAAAAAAATGTTTAGTAATGTTTAAAAAGATTTATATGATCAGTCTAAATTCAAAGCTGCATATAACAGTCGTTTTTAATTAAAGTCATAGTCTTAGCAACTTAGATCTACATATTGCAATTATAATATAACAGAGATGCAGATGCGATATTATAAGAGGGTACTTCTGTAAAATAAAATCTTACATCGGAGATAAATTTTGGTAATTAATTAAATATGCATTACACGGCAAAATGTCGCAAATTCTCAATCGGAATGACCAGCAACAGTCAAGTAATTTGCTAAAGAAGGACACAGAAACAGTGTGATCTCATTGTACTTACGTCTTTTTTTACTGTCGACCAGCAAAACGTACACAATGACTGATTCTTGTGATCGACATCATTTTTTTGTAAGCATGGTCGTTCCATTTTGCCTGAAAAATAAATTTATCAAACATAAACATTCATAACTTTTCACCTAGTCAGTACCTACGGCTTCAGAAGTGCGCACGCTCGCAGCTACATCGTTATTGGTTGAAATTTTGGTATATAAATAAATACAATTACCTAAAAAGGTGTTAGTTTGAAAAAGGACAATGGGCAAAACACACCCAGCTCCGCCAACAATGTAAAAAGATATGACACTGTAAAAAATATCCTGGTAGTCAATAAATATGACACATGGGCATATTAATGTAGCTGAATAACTTCATTTTATAGTACCTTCACTTCATATTATTAGTAATCATAATAATATGCCATATCGTACTGTTCAACCAGATATACGACAAAACCTGCCGACCATTCTGCGCTTGCTCTTACTGAGACAGTTCAAAACGGTTTACGGATGCTGAAGGACTTACAGTTGCAAATAGTCGACTCGACTTACTTCGTTGTGATTGTGCGCTCCCTGCTACTTGATTGATTTTTATCTAACACGTTTTGGATATTGGAACACGATTATCGGTTTTGTCAATTAGTATGGATGAACTGGAATCATGTGTTCTCCGAAGCGTGGGCAAGTTTGTGTAATCTGTGGTCGCTCCGTTTTACATAGAAGACAATTTCCTATAACGAACAGAATGTTTAAAGAAAAACCCAACCCATGCGGGGAGTTTTGGATTTACTCTAGCGCGGCAAAATAACATAAGAGGGTACCCTTGCACCTTGTGAAGTACTTCTATAATTCCTGAGCACCCTATGTGGGGTCGAACTAACTAACTAAATTAATTCCCTTGTTTCATTGGTGTTCGTTCGTAATAGTACTTGTACATATTTAACTTAAAATAACTAAAGACCCCCGGGATGGAATTTGATGCGCTTTATCACAGATGATCTTGACTATAATACCTTTCAAACAAATGTAGTTTAAGCCTTGGCGGACGTGGGTGCAGCGTCCATACATTTTTGCCCTATGTCCTTTACCGCGCGAGTTGGTCACCAAAAAGCCTGCGCTGCGTTAAGCGGGAGCACGGAGCGGTTCTTGATGTCCAATCTGGCCCGGTCTAATATTTTTTTTCAGCGACCCTTCAAGGCATCAAGCCAATAATAAAGGTCATAAAAGCATATTTAAATTTAGTTTACTACAGATTTTTCTTTTCGTTCAACGCTTTAAATAGCTGGATTTATATATCTGAAGATCCTTCCGCCCGGCCATAGAAAGGTGCAGCTTCGAATCATGTATCAGACATACCAGGACCAAGCGGTCTTTTTTCTATACCCTATTCAACTTCCTCTGAGACAAAACTTTGTTATCGAGAGTAAAGATAGCCGGTATAACAAGACTATTACAAAATATCACATTTCAACATAAATGATTCGCCTTATCACTACTCTTCAATTTAGTAGGATTAAATGCATTCAAAGTTTGGGAACAGCTACAATTTTGTTTTTTTAAAATGGAACTTCTTTTTAATTATGATTTTATTGATTTTTATGAGATTTTATATCATTATATAAACCCTTTTTATGGTTTGTTTACCTTTTGTGGTAGAGGAAGTCGAATAGAGCCTATAGTAAATGTTGGTTAAGATTTATAGAACAAAAAATAAATTTTGATTACCCGTGTATAGTTGATTGTCCAGTTGCGTGATGTAGCTGCCGGCGAGTCGCAAGAACCTCAATCTTGCTGAGATTGCGATCCGGCGGCTCCGTGGGGATCAGCATCCCAGCTTGTTGAAGGCCATGTTCACACTGCTTGGGGACGTGTTTGTTTAGATTTATAGAACAAAGAGATTAATTTTCATTACCCGTGTATAATTGATTATCCAGATGCGTGATGTAACTACCGGCCAGCCGCAGGATCTCAATCTTGCTGAGCTTGCGGTCGGGAGGCTCCGTGGGGATCAGCAGACGCAGCGTGTTGAAAGCCATATTCACACTGCTTGGGGACAGGAATGGTATATTGATAACATTTCTTGATATTAAATTAATGTGAAGGATATATTGGCATTACTGTTCTAGCCCACAAACACTGTTGCGTCACTTGTACTATTAAAAAAAATACAATGAATTCCCTCCGTATTTATTCGCTAAAGTACCATTGATAGTACAACTGAGACACTTTCCCATCACTAGTACCATTAAAAAGTAAAAAGTGCCCCAATATAGTTTTGGGATTCAGTGATAATTACCTAAAGATCGCGTTATTAGAACAATACTTTACATTATTATAGGTAGGTATGTTTTTGAATATATTTAAAAGCTAAAATATAGTAGTAAATAGCATGTAATTAAAACAATACATTTCACTAACGTTAAAAGTAATATATGAAATAATGAACGCCAATTAGACTTCAGTTCAAAACTATTCCAAGAGACAAATCATCATTTAGCCAAACGATCCGTCCAACAGATCATACACAGACAAATTAGTTTAAACTTTTTACACTAACTTTTGAGTTCGATCCCTCTCGCGAGCATTAGCTTGACACCTCTGTTTTGCAGCCGGCATAGATCCAACTGCATTATTGTACGAGCTTAACATTGGTTGCTCCCAACTTTCGTTGCACTGGTAGTTCAAAATATTTTCCATGGATTCAAAATTAAAAAGTACTGAATTTCTTGTCACTAAAACCGCAATAACGCTAGTGTGTTTTATTTTCTATTTTTTTTTAATTCGAATTCACATTTTTTGTTTCATTTTGGCAAATTAACGACGACGATTACTGACGATCACTTGGAGTTGGAAAAAAGTTTTCACAAAAGAAATGTAGAGTTCAAACGATACTTTCGAATGCTGTACGCTTACTGAGCTGGAGTGTATGTGGGCCCACTAATAAGTATCCCGATGGATATCGCTCATGAAGGAATCATTTAGGAAGAACAGCGCGCGCCACTGACGCGGCTCTTAGCCGATAATTGTATAAACAGATGGCTCCCGGACACGCAGGGCCGGACTAATTTGATGACAACATGAACTAATCATTGTAAAACTAAGAACAATCAAGATAATCTAAAAAAAAACAAATGTGTTCATATATTTTTTTCACGTCCGTTACTTGGCAGAACTTTGCAAAGTTCTTGAGTAAAACCATAGACAAATAAACTTGCGCAGTAGAAGTTTTTATATATGAAATTGCTACTGAGAAGGCTTCGTTGTCTATGGGTTATGCTGAAGAAGTTTGCAGGGAGGTATATTCATATCAATAATAGGTAACGTAATAAAGAGTGAAATGTGGCATACACTCTCATAGCTTGAATGAATTTGACATATTTAGAATTTATTCAATCTGTAAGGACTCATTGTTAGGGAAGAGTAGAAATAGTTAGCCACTTATCACTTCTTTGTAAAAAAGTCGCTGCTGAAATTCTACCCTTCCGTCACAATTCTTTTACACTCTATGCCGAATTTGTGTGTTAATAATCAGTTTGTGTGTTTGCATGTATGTTTTTTTTAAGCTACCTATCCCATGTTAGATTTTTCCTAAAATACTAAGTCAATTACAGCCATCTTTTATTGTAATGAATTGGACTAATCGTCAGATGAACTGCAAATAGCAAAGCATTTCCGAAGAAAAAGGAGAAGTAATCAAGTAATTAAAACATTAATTTCATTCCCCTAAGTCTATCCCTGCAGTGGCGAATGGTTCTACTTGTCATCGAGAATGTAAAACTCCGCAGGCCTCCCTTGTCCCGTGTTGGTTTAAGCTAACTACCGCAATAAATATTTTTAATGATCCCGATGATCTTTTTCTGACGAAAGACTCACGCTCTGACCCATCACTTGTGAAATCTGAATGGTTTTTTGTATAGGATAGTAGGTAGGTAGTCATGTAATATTTTAGTGAAAAGTTATAAAATAACTTTAAAACAAGGTAAATTTAAAAAATAAAAAAACCCGTCTACTTAAAAAATATTTCAAATAAAAACTGAAAAGAAAAAAACAAGTCTGTAGTCTATAATTATGTTAAGTAAGTACATAATTATAGACTACTAGATATTATAATATATATTATATATATAATTATAGACTAATAGATATTCAAGAATTGATCATTTTTTTTTCAATAATAGGTCGCGACTGTTAAAACACCTTGTTACTTACTTAACAGAATTATAGAATACTGGACTATTCCAGTTCCGGTTATTTTCTTTTCAGTTATTATTTGAAGTAATATTTAAGCAGTTGGGTTTTTGATTTTTTTAATTCATCTTATTTTTAGATGAAAGAAAGTATTTTTTTTCCAGAAAATGTAGTCTCATATCATTGATTCTGTACATGCAATAAAGTGATGATGTTTTTTCTTTGTGATGTAATTACAAGTTTAATTTTAGGATCTTGTGAGACCTTGTATATTTAAATAAAGCAGGCAAACGAAAAGTATCTTACTACAAATTGAATTTTTCACAGATATACAACAGTATATGACTAAAGAAAATTTAACTTTGTTTTCACTTGATTTTTTTAGCTCGTCGGGACTTTTATGCACTGAATTGAGTTATTTTATACTTTAATGTAAAAAAATGTATTATTGACATATTCCAATTTTCGAAATTTTGGTTTTCATGTGAGAACCAAGTGAGCACACATCTCTGAACTCACTCAATAACAAGATTGTTATGTATATCGCCGATGATTCTTTCAGCGTGTCTCTTTCTACGATTCGCGTCTCGAGGGATGGGTAAGAGCATATCCGTGGGAACTTGCAGTAATTGGTTAATTTACGAGTTGTCGGCCTCTGCCCCACCGCCGCCGCGCGTTACTTCAGAGTTCACACAATTCACTTATAAAAACAATAGTCTGCGTGGCCGTGTGAAGAAAACTCGGCGTGAATAGATTAAAATGATGTTAATTTAGGACAAATCATAATAAAACACGATGGAACTGTATTTAGGAACGGTACGCGACATTGTGACAAAAGAAATAAAAAACCCTAGCATTAAAATTATTTTCTTTTTAACACGACTGCTAAAAGTAGTGTAAGTTTCAGAGTTCATTTATGTATGTATGTTTCTTTGTCCTATCTTAACGTCTATATGCCTGAACAGATTTTGACGAATAGAATATCGTTCGTTATGGCGCCATTACACTTGGTCGTTACCCGAATACGAGTGGCAATGGAATTCGGGTAAGTTTTCGTTTCGGTTACCCGACACCGTCTTCCAGCCCGTATTCCAGTGTAAATATTGCTTCGGGTGCCCGAATTCGAGTAATGTCTTTCGTGCACCCGGGATTCGGGCTAACGACCACATGTAATTGAGCCATTACAATATTATAATCGCAAGTGAATAGTAATATTATAATCGCAATGATAAATGCTAGGGGAATGGCTGCCCTAATACTGTAATGTCAGTTGAAAATTTTGTGTTGATCGTTTGGATTTTTCTGTAATTTTTTGATTGAGATGCTTGGTTAATCAGTTAGCGAGTTCAGTTTTCACTTTCGCATTTGATATGATGGGTGATCAAAAATTTACTTTAACCATCTCTTCCATGATTCTGAAGTCACGATTAGCCTTTGGGTCTCCATAGTGCTTTATGACCTGTTTTTCCTGTCCATTCGAGCACAGCAAAATCTGAACCAAAATACCCCATGGAAGAGACAACGACTATAAAAGAATGTAAGACAAACAATGTTGCATAATAATCTAGACATTTCAGATAAGTTATGAACTCACAAATTTTGTTGCAAGACTTGTAATGACTGTTTGATCTCGTAATTTTCACTAATAATATGAATTTTGCTTAAAGTAGACCTCGGGATTCCATCGATGAAGCAACTATAATAGTAATCTGTGTTGCCATCTTTAAATTGATCGAAATTGATAATAACATTATGGCAACTAATTAGTATGATCACCAGTATTTAAGCCTATTAATGTCCCCACTGCTTAGAAACAGGCCTTCCCTATAGATGGAATAGGGAGATTGGGCATTGTATTTTTTTAAAATCCTGTACGATCGCAGGCCAAACGCTCTAACCACCTGCGCCATCGAGCGAGATTAATATTATTATCAGTAAATAATAACTATTATATTTTCTAATTTTGAAAGCTTAATTCCATTGTCAAATTCAAGATCGTACTGAATTTTAGATATTGTTTTATGTGTGAATGGCGTAGTTTACAATAACATAAAAGGGGTAGGTCAATATTATTCTTAGGTCAAAAATTAATACATAATATTTTGTGCTCAGCCCCTTCAACATAGCCTGACCCATGCAAATCCTGCGAGGTTTCCAACACCGTCTATTGCCGATGCTCAAGATTATAGTGCTCAGGTGTCTGTTGGTTTAGCGCCGACGTCACGCCCCCTCCACGCCAACCGGCGCGGGCGCACCACGGCCGAGACTTTCTCCTCGCGACACCAAAGTACCGACCCGCATCGAGTCGCACGCCAACCGCGCGAGTGTTGACCGTCTCAGACGACCGCGCGATCGTACGCTTGTGGCTTACTCGTATCATCGAAAACAACTTCCGCGTTCGAATCACCACTTTCGCTCCGTAAACAGTCCCAACGATTCGTGTTTTCAAACATTACGACGACGTTGCAAAATTACGGTGGGCCCGGTGTATGGCCGCTGTTAGCGAGGGGAATAAGTGTTTGCAAAACGCCACCGTGATGTCTGATCATAATTAAAGGTGAGTTGCCTTTCTACTATTAGCCGTACTCAGGTTAGACGATGACATTCTATGATAAGGTAGCCGCGGTGTCTCACAGTGAACGCAAGGACGCGACCGCACGTTGGCTACCCGCTGCCCACTGGCTACTTTGCTAATTTGTTCGTGACACTCTTTGAATAAAATTCCAGAAGCCATCCTCAATCATTGCCTAACATTATAAAAAACCTTTGTAAAAAGTATATTAAGTATTATCTCTTATCGTAAGTGTACGAACAAGCTTCTCCAATTTTGAATTTATTTTTGCGAAGAATCATACGTTCTTACACACACACAATGGGTTTTTTGTCGTGACAGTTCGGTATATGAACAGTTAGAATGAGACCGGTTAACATTATCTCCGCATTCGCAAATCAGCTGACGAAACTCTTACTTAGATTAAGTGATCTTGACAAATTTTATAGAGCATTGTTAAATAGCTCCAGGTTATACATAGTATATATTATTCCATTGGTTCTTTCTATATAATGAAAAACATAAATATATATATTTTTATATTTTATGTCTGTCACCATATCAGTCATAGAATGCTTGATACTCCTGCCTCCTGGTTAGTTTAGATCATTTAGACTGACGACTTTTTCAAATTACGTTTTGAGATTATTTTTAACAGTACCGCTGTAGTCATAGCTGAGTAAAAAGATTAGTCTGGTTAGCTGAAATTCGCTAGTACTAATCCAATTATATATGAGGCAGTTAATTATTTGACTTATTTGACTTTATATATTCATATTAATGATTTTTAATTATGATTAAAAATCATTAATATGAATGGTAATATTGATCTAATGTAAGATGTGTAAAGAAAGAAAAGAAGAGCGTACTTTTTTCATGAAAAAAAAAATGTCTTATAAATGAAGAAACTAAAAAACTTTTATAGACGGTAATCATACAATTCTGACGTTCATCGAGTCAAGTAAGTAAGCATGCAGTTTCCTATTGAAGATCCGTGATGAAACGCACGCCATTACGTGATGTTATTGAGAAACGCGCAATGTTTCTTGTGAGCCGGTACAATAATGCCGAAATAATAGCAAAACGAGAAAAGTCACGTGTTACAATGGGTTTAAGGTGACTATTACCATTTTAAACATCCCATGATATACCTTTAGCCTATGTAATATTTACTTATGGTATGCCTTGCTGGATTGGAAATCGGCTGGAATTTATAGAAAAAGTAAGCGTTTGCAATACGCTCAGCAAATGCAAAACAAGGTAACTTTTTTTTAAGTGAAAAGAAGAAAAAATATTGTTTATAATTTTATTTTTTTATGCATGTAACTGCTTGATTTTTAAATCTAAAGAAAATATAACTAGAAAAAATTCCACGCGGACCAGGCAGCAGACGGGACTCGAACCCGCACCCTTCGCAATCCGGGCGAATGCACTGACCAATTATGCTATCGCGGCCCTGATGGCCACGTTGAAATTCTTCTAGCCATTCTTAAGCTGCTTATGCAAAATTATTGTTGTAAGAAATGAAAAGACCAAAAATATTGTTATAAGAAATGTCATTATTAAAAAAATGCATTGAAAGAAGAAAACCCGCCCAAGTGCGAGTCCGACTCGCCCATTGAGGGTTCCGTACAGTAGGTATGCAACATAAACCGTATCTTTCTTTAAGTTAACTTAGGAGTTTAATTTGACCGTAGAGTTAATCAGAATCTATTTTACTCTCGTTAAAATTTTAACTGAAGGCACGAAATAGGGTATGAAAGTTTGTATAGGAAACCAGACGAAGCTGCGGGCACTCGCTGGTATTAGATGAATCTCATCTGCAGAATTATAATTATGATTCATAGAGGTTATTCAAGAATGACATCCTGCCAATGACCTGTTAGTGAGCACGTGCTTATAATAGCGAGCGCTGCAAACAATATACAAAAGTTACAAAGAAATACTTGTTGATTTATTTAATCAATCGCGTACATAGAAGCAGCATACAGCTGACTCCTCCCATTATAACAGAGGTAAAAGTTAACGATTATTAACTAGAATTAAACTGCTCGTCTATGAAAACTATGAAAATCTTACAGAAATGAGTTTACTACTGTTACGTTTAGCCCACTACTGATAGGTTGATAAAACTTAACTTTTAAATTGAAATAACGTTTGCTGAAACTGTTTTTTGTCAAAAACACATCAACAACACATTTTGGTCGAATAGTATAGAAATAAAGAAGTAAACCAAAACATTATATTTTCTTTTAAAAATTGGCATTATTTTCTTCTGTTTAAACAACATTAAACACTATATTATATATCGAGCAAAAAACTACAAATAAAAGCAAGTTTGTTTGTAAGGGAGCCCCACCTAAATATTTATTTTATTCTGTTTTTAGAATTTATTGTTATAGCGGCAACAGAAATACATAATTTGTGAAAATTTCTACTGTCTAGCTATCACGGTTCATGAGATACAGCCTGGTGACAGACAGACAGACGGAAGGAGAGTGGAGTCTTCGCAATAAGTCCCGTTTTACCCTTAGGGTACGGAACCCCAATAACAACTTTAAGAAGTTATAAATGATCGCAAAAGTATTACAAAAAAGTTAGTAAACTTCCGTTTATCAAACTTAACTATGAATGGGATGATTGCTACGTGGGTTTTTCGTATGAACCATTTTAAAGGCATCTCCTTGTTTTTATTCGTAGTCACCTCGTCAAGGCTTTTAAATTGTCACCGAAACGCGTAGGAAGAATGGAAGCAGTTTGAAACAAAGTGCGTGCTTAGAAGACGAAGGTCGTCGTTTCATCTCTTAAATGCTCACTGATGGTGTTGCGCCAATCTTTTCTACAAAACACAAAGAACTAATTGGCCTTTCTGGGTTAAGCGTCCTACTATGCTGTATTTATACACTTAAGTGAAAGGGTGGTTTATGGTAAAAAACTCGTTATATCCAACGAGATTTGATGTATCTTTTCATTTTTTGGAAGTCGTCGTTTAATTAGATGTTAACGTTTTATAAGGTTTTTAATTTCCTTGGGCACTTAACATAACGTAACAAAGGGATTTAATATCCCTTTGTTTGTTTATGTATACTATCAGGAAATTGCGATTTAATACAAAAATATCAACAAAATACCAATTTAAACTTAACCCTTTAAGTAATAATTTAATAGAAAGACATACATTCAAAGATAACTGTCAAAATTATGCAGGTAATGCTAATATTTCACGGGGCAGTGGGTATATGAAATACTTATCTCGCACTTAATAGATCCTGTGCAATATATTCTATCTTTGTTCGACTTCACAATCATCGCCAAAGCGGATAGAACTTGAAGGCTGCATAAATATTCCTAGTTATCTTTAAGCTTCGCTGGAGAAGTATCAGAAATAATGAGGTCTTAACTTAGCTTCAACGTATGCATGAAGGTGGCACAGTACTTTTTTTGGTTTCAATAAATTAAATAAATATTTCTGTCACACACTGACTTTCCCCAACGTAAGCTCTGTAAAGCTTGTGTGGGCTTGCGTGGGTTATGTAAATATTTCTATCACACACCAATTAGCCCCAAAGTAGAAGATGTTAGATTGAATAGTGCAGTCTAAATCTAAAAAAAAATCTAGAAAAAATACCGAGCAGGCCAGGCAGCAAACGGGACTCGAACCCGTACCCTCCGCTATCCGGGTGGATGCACTGAACCATTATTTCATCAGATTTCTTTCTAGTAAAATTTTCTTTAGACTTAAATATCCAGAAGTTAAATGCTTAGAAAATAAAAATACGACATGAATAAATCTATTTTTATTCAAATTGAAATGTTTCTTATTCGTCATCCTCCTCATTTTAGGACCAATCACGCAATTTCAAAGCAAAAACTACTTACAATTTTGACACGGAGCTACCTCATATATCAGCCAACATAGCATTGTAGGGAATGTTTCTACTCATTGAAATGATAGGATGGGGAATTCAAATTTTTTTTAGGTTGACCGTTATTATCTAATTATACATACATGACATAAATTCATTCGTTAAAGAAAAGATACAAATATTATTAAAAATTAAAGGAAAAATTAAAAACATATCAACTTGTTTAACGATTTTCATCACGAGGTTGTTAAGGTAGATAACAAGTTTCTGCGATGATTTTTGTATGCAAAAGTAAAAAAGTTTTGCTAAACAAAAAGTAATTTTGACTAGTCATATCAAAAATTACTTTTGATAATTCCTACTTATATTATACCTGTAAATGTAAAAGTTTGTATGTTTGTGACTCAATCACGCAAAAACTACTTAACTGATTTTGACGAAATATATTATACCTGTAAATGTAAAAGTTTGTATCTTTGTGACTCAATCACGCAAAAACTACTTAACTGATTTTGACGAAATTTAGTACGCATATACTTTATGACCTAGATGGACATAGTATACTGACATACAGACATAGAGTACTTTTAATCCCAGAAAAATGTTAGTTTGCAGAAAATTTGTGAGTGTGTATGTTTGTACTTCTTCACGTCTAAACGGCTGGAGCGATTTTAATAAAATTTGGTATGGAGTAAGCTGATACCCTGGCTTAACACATGGGCTACGTTTTACTGCGGGAAAATTCCTTAATAAACTGCGGGTAACACCGCGGAGCACAACTAGTTTCAAATAAATTTCAAATCACACCGGCCAATAAAAAGTAAATTTGTTCATACAGAATAAAACTGCTGTTCCTATTCCATGCTTTTTGGAGTCCTAAAACACATTTATCATAAGATGGATTTGACCCTTTGTTTAGACGCAACAGATAGCAGGTTTTTACTAGTTGGCTAATTCTACATTTATCTTTTACTTGTAGAGCAACATACGACATGTTGCTATCACAAGTTTATATCACATAAATTATAATCTTTTATTTTATGCATTGTAATAAAATATTTTATCTACATCTCTATTTCTTCTTATAGCGAAAGTGCTGGTTCAAATCCATAATTTTAAGGTCTATTTTTGTTTAAATAT